GGATATTCAGATCTGAAACTCTGCAGGAATATCAAGCCTGTAAATATAGATTTGAAAGTTAACATACAGGTGGTAATTTCAGCCATGAGGATTCATCGACTAAGAGGCTGTGGAGTGAGAATTGGGCCAAGGGCAGATATCTGAGAAATGAAATATCTCAAATATGGGCAGGGGAAGAAAAATGGCCAATGGAGAGAAGGAACAACTAGAGAAGCAAGAGAAAAATGGGAAAGTGGGGTGCAGGAGCGTGGGCAAGAGAAGGTTTCAAAGAGGTAGTGATCAAATAATGTCTAGTGCAAGTTAGAGGTCAAGGGAAATAGAGATGGAAAGTTTCCTTTGGAATTTACAAAGGGAGGGGTGTTGTTTACTTTGGCAATAGCAGTTTAAGAAGACTAGTTGGTGAATGAAGCCAGATTGCAGTGGGCTGATGAGTGAGTAGGAGGTGAACAGGTGGATGAATGTGTGAGGGCAGTGAGATAGGGCAGTGGCCAGAAAGGCACAGGGGAGACAGCACATTTACAGTTCTTTTCTTCTTCATTCTTTCTAGTTAACTTTTTAAAGTTAGGAGAGGCTTGAGAGTGTTTAGATGCAACTGAAAAGGAGCTAGTAGGGAGAAGTTAAGCTATGAGATGGGTTTCTGAGACAGGGAGTCTCCTGAGAGAGAAGGAAAAGTTTCAGATCATCTGTGGAGAAATTAGCCCTAGAATAGAAGGAAGGATGCATACATACTGTTTTTGGCATTTATATATATAAATATATATATTAAGTACCCTTAGCTTTATCCTTATAATTATACATTAATTTTTAATTATATATATTTTTATTAATTAACTTTTTATTACATATCATTATTATTATTATATACAGCTTTGGGGGAAAGAATGAATTTCATTTTGGACATGTTGAGCTTGATGTGTTTCTGAGATCAAGTGGAGATGTTGAATACACAGCAGGATATTCAGATCTGAAACTCTGCAGAAATATCAAGCCTGTAAATATAGATTTGAAAGTTAACATACAGGTGGTAATTTCAGACGTGAGGATTCATCGACTAAGAAGCTATGGAGTGAGAATTGGACCAAGGGTCCAATATATATTATTATTAATAATTTTTTTAAGTTTATTTATTTTGACAGATAGAGAATCCGAAGCAGGCTCCACATTGTCAGTGCAGAGCCTGATGCAGGGCTCGAGCCCACAAACCGTGAGATCATAACCTGAGGTGAAGTCAAGAGTCGTACACTTAACCAACTGAGCCACCCATGGGCCCCTATGTTATTTTAAAATGCAAGGATTTATCTACCTGGGTATGTCCCCTGTGTGTTTTAGGCCATCACTTGGAATCTTTTTTTTTTTTTTTAATATATTTTTAAGTTTATTTATTTATTTATTTTGAGAGAGAGAGAGAGAGAGAGAGAGAGAGAGAGAGAGAGTGTGTGTGTGTGTGTGTGTGTGTGTGTGTGTGTGTGTGTGTGTGTGAGTATGAGCTGGGGAGACAGAAAGAGAAGGAGAGGGAGAAACCAAGCAGTCTCTGTGCTGGGGCTCCATCTCATGAACTGTGAGATCATGACCTGAACTGAAATCAAGAGTTGGATGCCTAAGGACTGAGCCACCCAGGTGCTCATATCATCAGTTTGAATCTTTAACGACTCATCTGTAAGTTCTGGAGGGCTGAGTATCTCTTTGTTCACTTTGTCCTGCAAAGAAATGTCTTGGCTTTGTTGAATGCATAGCCAGGAATTAGGGCACAGCCTGTGGCCTCAGAACAGAACAAAATACAATGAGAGAGCCTGGCCTTCATTCCTCTAGGGCTCTAACTGGTTGTGCAAATCAGCCACTGATCCTACTTAGTACTTTATGCAGGTTGGTGCTTCATCTTTTATTCTTGAAAAGTACTTCAAGAGCTCTTTTCACCTCACTAAGGGAAGGGAGTCTAGGTTAGTTTTAGTTCTTAATTGCTCAAGTAATTTGAAACCTTGACAAATATAAGACTTCTTAAGAATAATTTCCTTTAAATTAATTTGATTGGCTTGGCTGTAAGTGGATTTATATCTCAGGGTAAGACTCAGCAGCAATGGCACTGGGGCAAATAATTAGCTTCTGTTCCCTCTAGAAATATTATTTATACGTGTGAAGTTGGGCTACAATGAGTATTAAGGGCAATTTTGAATAGGGAAAAATATGCCACAATGTGACCACAGTGTCTTGGAGCTGTTGTGGAGTGATAGATACTAAGTCCCTTAGGTGCTTTCCATCACCAGTTACTGGATTTACCTCCTTTTCTCCATCCCCCTATTGGGTAGTTTGGGCTTCACCTAAACATGTGACCCAGAGGAGTAGCTGGATAGTGCAGACCGTGGGGCACTTGGACCCTGGGAATCTGTAAACAGGGGAGAAGATTTTGGCAGGTTGTTGTCCCTGAGAGGGCAACCATGCCTTGGGGCTACTCTCCATGTCACTGAGCAAACTTACAAAATCTTGCTGGCTTCTAGGTCTGGTTCTCAAGCGTGGGTGCACATTAAAATCATCTAGAAAGCTAGGAAAAAATACTGATGTGCATGCAGGTCCCACTTATTCTGATTGAATTGATGTAAGCTATATTCAGGGTACTTAAACAAAAAAAATCTCTCTAGATGATTCTGATGTGCAGCTAAGTTTAAGAACAATTGCTAAAATCACTGGGGCTTTTGAGACGTTGGCTGGGCTGGAGAACACAAGTTGCCAGAGAACCACAGATACCTGATGAGGCTTTAAAAATACATTTTATTATTTACAAGTCTTTGCAATATATAGACTCCTATACATATATTTTTCAGGGCAGCATTCATGTTTATTTCCTGGAAACCCTTCGGGACAAAGAGTTTATTCGATATCATGGCTCACTCCAGGCATATGTATCAGTGTGGCAGTTGGACAAAAGAAAAGGGACTATCTAGGGAAAAGCAATTTGGTTTTCATGTGAGTAGCCTCTGTGAAAAAGTTGGAAACTGAGGAAATGTACTGAACCTCGTTTCAGTAGGACTTGATAACATTGTTTAAAGGTGAATTTAGAAATGTTTCTTTGCAGGATCAGAGTTCCCAAGGAACTGGAAGCAAAAGCAAGACTCCACGTAGACCCAAAACATGCAAGGCTGTATGTTCACATCCTATACTACTTAATTCTAGCATGTCTATGGAAATGAGCCAAGTAACTCCATGGTAGGCCAGGTTTTATTTATTAGCATGCCTCATATTCTTAAAATCTGTATGAACTCTATAGTAAAGAACTTAGTAGTCATTTCTCTTGGAGCCAAATATAAATTTTTTAGGGAAAATAAATAAATCCAAAACACATCTTCTTACTTAATTCAGCAACTCTGTGGTTCATTGAGAGGGTATCAGAGAGGACTAGTGTCTGAAAAGCCTTCTTTGTGACTCAAAGAAGTCTTGTCATGACCATGATACCTAAATTATCTCCCTTTGGCTTCATTCTGACCTCCTATTTCCTCAGGATTCTTCAAAGATTTACTAACATTCTATTGAGAAAGAGTCTTAGTCTTTTCATAGATAAGAAGAACCTCAGAACTGGTGGTTCTTCAGAAGCAAGTCTTTACATATGGAAACCAAGAGCTTTTCCTTGGTGGACATTCCATTTGTTGCTTTAAGTTCCAGATTGTTTATCTGGTAATTAAGTTTATTTTCATTTTTTCTTTGGCATGTTTATGATTGATTTTGTGATTTTCCTAATATTGGTTACTCAGAGCCACACTAGCATTTTTTAGAAGTCGGGAGGTCATTTTATAGCTCTTCTCAGCTTTATCTTCTAGGAGTTACATTAATCTGTCCCTCAAATACCCTGAGAAGGAAAACATGGCGGTTGATTAGGACCTCTCCTTCATACACCTTTAGTTTCTTCAGAAGCCTTGTACTGAACGTGATTAAGGGCCAGTGCTCTTTGTGAATGTGGTCAACTAGAAAATTCTTCTGATGAAAAGGAGATTGGGAAAAGTTGGCTGCCATTTCATGATTCAGTCCATGATGCCTTATGAACTGTCTCCTGGCAGCCATTCAGCATTAGAGCTTTTTATAGAAGAAAATATAGTCAAAACACAAGTCTCTCAACTCAGTACCCTAAAGCCATTGGCTGTTAGAGTCTACAGGAGGTCTTTTGAATTTTTCATAGCAGGGGCTCAGTAGCTGGAATACGAGGCAAAATCTGAATCACAGAGGAACTGTGGGATTAGCAGTAATCTAGTTATAGGAAAACCCATAATTCAAAGAAAAAACAAGACTTGCAACAATATCAACTTTTGGTAAACCGAAGAACTCTTGAACTTCTCATTTTCCCTTTAGAACGTGTCTGAAATGAGAGTCTGGGGTAGTTTTGACTCTACCAGTGGAGAGTAAGTGGCTTAGTCGTCAGGGTTGGAAGTAAATAAGTCCATATATTGCTCTAATCAGTGGGTTAATTTTTTTTAATTAAAAATTTTTTTTACATTTATTCATTTTTGAGAGACAGAGACCGCGCACTAGCGGGGGAGGGACAGAGAGAGAGGGAGACACAGAATCTGAAGCAGGCTCCAGGCTCTGAGCTGTCAGCACAGAGCCCAATGCGGGGCTCAAACTCACAAACTGCGAGATCATGACCTGAGCCGAAGTCGGATGCTTAACTGACTGAGCCACCCAGGCGCCCCTAAATGGGTTAGTTTTTTTGTGGTGTGTATCCGCTGGCAGCTGAAGAAGCCTATAATGTCCTCAGAAAAATATTAAAAAATAATTAAGTAATGTGTGTAGTATTACAGAGGAGACTTTATTTATTGAAATATAGTTGTTAAAATAAAAAATCTCATACAGCAATATATGTGCCCTTCATTAATGCATTAAATAACAAGATATACCATTGGATCTAGTAACATAATTTCACAGTAGTGATGCGCAAAAATGGTATTCTGAGATTTCTGTAGCAACTGTAATGTGATATGTGTGTGTTTAAAATGTGTGAAAATTTCATGCATTCACAGGAGGAAGACAGTGTGAAGACACTGGAGAAAGATGGCCATCTATAAGCCGAGGAGGAAGACATTAGAAGAAGCCCTGCCAACACAAGGATCCTGGACTTCTAGAATGTAAGAAAATAAATTTCTGTTGTTTAAGCCACAACAGTACAATAGTTAGTCTGGTATTTCGTGATGGCAGTCCTAGGAAACTGATAAGATTGACAAAACCATTTAAGTGTTATCCTCATGGTTTCACTACTGAGGAGTCCCCAGATCCCTTTCCTCAGCCCAGAAGGGCAGGATAGTGGGAGAAATGACCTCCTGTTTATTACACTCGCAGATCTTTTTGAACAGTGGTTCTTAAGGAGGGTCTATGAAAGGCTTCAAGGATTCTTTCTTTTGTGTGTGTGTATAATTTCTTTATTTTTCTAGCAGTAGGGTCCAGAACTTCCACAAGATTCTCAAAAGTTTATAACTTTCCAAGAGTTTGTAACCATCATTTTAGAACTTGTATATTCTGGACTTCTGTACCTTGGCTCCAGCTGGACATAGAGTGTACCTAAGGTCTATTGCCCATACCTTCAAGTGAAGTTGTCCATTTATATAGCATTTATGGGTGGGGCTGCCCACACACTCTGAAAAATATATGAAAGCCCAGAAACCAAAGTGAAGGTATTTATGTAGGTGTATGTTAGGAATAAGACATAGTGTTAGGTATAGAGATGTATAAGGATGCATAAGGAAATGTCCTTAACCTCATATGTTGGGAAAGCTTCAAACCTACACATTTTCTGAGTCTCGTTACCCATGGCATGTCCTGCCTCTTTTTGGCTGAGGCCAAATAGACAGCTCTGCCGTTCCTGACCTTGTGAACAGCCATGCGTTTGCCAAGCCTGTGGCCTCACATGGGCCATGGAGCCCCACCATCTTCATAGGGGTGTCTTTGTATAAGCAGCTTATGTATAAGCTTGTATAAGCACTTATGAAGTGGGTCTGCTCTCAGGAGAGAACTGGGAGAAAAAGAGAGAGAGAGAGAGAGAGAGAGAGAGAGAGAGAGAGAGAGGAAAAACAACATGACAATACCAAGTGCTGATGAGGTTATGGAACAGCTGAAACTCTCACACATTTACTGATAGAAATGCCAAAGAATGTAGCTACTCTGAAAAAAGTTTGGCAGTTTGTAATAAAATTGAGCATACATTTATCCTGTGATCATCAACCCCACTCCTAGGTGTTTACTGAATGAAAATGAAAACAGGTTTACATTAAACCTGTATGCAAATATTTATAGAAGCTTTATCCAGAGTAGCATGAAAAATGCAAACCATCTAAATGTTGTTCAACTTGTGAATCTGATAGCAAGCTCTGGGGCATTCATACATTGGATTGGTAATCAACAATAAAAAGATGAACTATTCCTGTTTAAAAAAGCTTGGATGAATCTCTACTGCTTTGTGTTAAGCTAAAGAAGCCAGACTCAAAAAAACTGCATACTGTACGATTCTCTTTATATACCATTTGGAACAGGTGAAATAGGGACAGAAAATAGTTGGTAGTTGCCAGATTAAGGGTGAAAGGGCAGATTTTGCCACAAATGAACATTACTAGGGAATTTTTTAGGTGTAAAGGAACTGTTCTGTATCTTGTTCTTGTGGTGGTTATGACTATAGGCATTTGTCAAAACTCACAACTCTGCTCTAAAAAGGGTTAATTTTACTGTATGTAAATTTTAAAATTATAAAACCAAAAAAAAAAAAAAAAAAAAAAAAAAAAAGCAAGCAGCTGCTGGCTGGAGCAGAGCTCATTTCAGAGCCAAGAAGGGAGCTTGAGGTCACAAGGGGACATTCTACTCACTACTGCATGTTCCACTGGCTTTTGCCAAACTCTTGGTGTGGACAGGCTGTGGGCAGAACATGGCCATTTTCAGGATGCAGGAGCCGTAAGGTTTGACTTAGGAAACTAGAAATAGAGATAAATCTTGGGAAAGGGCAGCTGTGTTGAAGTGGACAAATTGGTATTCTCAGAATGAAGTTGGGACCAAATGTTTTGGTGTTACCTCGCCGGGAAAGAATAATGTAGATCAGGCTCGTGGTGTTTGGCCAAGAGATCTGAAGGGCTGCTGGAAGACTTCCTAAGCTTGGGCCCTTCTCCATGTCTGTCTTCTCTGCTAGCAATTCAGTGCATAAAGGCTGCATCCATAAAGGGAAACCAATTCTTTGGGGGCAATCAGGTTTTAAGCATTTTTATAAGAGTTGATGGGTTCTGCTTTTACTCTTAAATGTCAGGCAGGGGAAGAACCATGTTGTGGGGGAGAGAACAAAGGGTTTAGCCTCAAACTTACCTGGTTACAAGCCTTTGTGACCTTGTGCTGGTTATTTACCTTCTCTTGGCTCCATTTCTTTTCTGGGATAAAAGGTTTTTATAGAGATCAGAGAGGAGGCAGATTGAATTGAGAATGAACTTTCCTCACCTACCTACCTACCTACCTACCTACCTACACACACACACACACACACACACACACACACACACACACACACACA